ACCATAACTTCCCTTATTTTTAGAAAATCTGTGCCATCACTTGAACTACCTGGTGATAAATTTAATTCAGGAAATACTTGCTTTTGATGCTTAACGTATTGTTCAAATTGTTTAGCTTGATTTTTTAACTTTAAAACAAATTGATCTCTTTCCATTTTTATTTTGTCAAAGTCTTTTAATCTTTCTAGTTCCTCTTCCTTTCCTTGTAAATCTGTTTCTAATTGTTTGATTCTTTGCTCCATAACATAATTACTCTTTCTTCCAGCCTTCAGATGATTTATCTTAATACTTAATTGTGTCGCCAAATCTTTGTAATGAGAAAGTTCTTTTTCCAATACACATTTTGAATTTAATGATATTTCACTATTTTTTTTTAACCTACCCTCGAAATTTCCAATTATATTTTTCGTTTCTGATAATTCTACTTCTAACTGCGCGATTTTATCTTTATAAATGCTTGTTTCACTAATTAAACTGTCACATTTATTTTTTAAATCTTCATTTTCTATTTGATACTGAGATACTTTTAATTTTACATCATCAGAGTCTTCAATCTTTGAATTTCGCTTGATACTTGATAATTCAGAATCAAGTTTAGAAATTTTAGTAATAAGATTATTCCTTTCACTAATTGCATTTTCATATTTCTTTTTCCAAGATTCTTGAGATATTTCCATCTGTGCTGTCTTTAATTTAGCATCATCTAAGGCAGATTGATATTCCAATACTTTTTTATGTTCTTTAACTGCAGCATGTAGTTTATCTTCTAAACGTTTACAATCTTCTTCTAACTATAAATGTATTAAGTTTGATGAATTTATATATAGCAGACAAACAATAATAAACAAGATATATATACCTGATTTATTTTTTCTAAATGTTCAGAACAATGATCTGGCAAGTGAACACTTATCTCTTGGTTAGGGTGAGCATTGCGTAATTCATTTAAAGCTTCTTCTTTAGCTGTAAATATTAAATTTATGATAGATCTTAGTAAAATTTTTAAACATATGAAAGAATGAAAGACATCCAAATTTTATTGTTTTAAGCGATATCAATTTTACCTTTTTCAATTTCTCGGTGAATTTTGTTTGTGTATTCATCTTTCTTTTTCCTTTCACAATTTAGATCTTTTTCTAATTCAATTACTTTATTTCTGTACATGTCGCACTCTTCCGTTAATTTTTCTGCTATCTTTACTTGTGCCCTTAAATCATGTTGGTATCTTTCTATATCTATTTCACGCTCTTCTAAGCTAGTATATTTTTCTCTTAACATTTTGATTTCAGATTTATGTTCACTTATTAATTGTTCTTTTGTACTACAGATATCTATATACAATTCTTTAACACGATCCAACTCTTTTTGCGTTTGTTCCAATTGCACACTGTAAGTTAAAACATTTATCTCATCCATTTTAAACGTTATGATATTAACAAGCAAAAGATATATTTACAATAACAGAAACATGTTGCTACTTACGATAATTGCACTACTTCAACTCGTGCTTCTTGCCTAACTCTTTCTACAGCTTTAGCATGTATTTCTAAATATTCTTTATTGTACTCATCAATGGTGTCTTTTTCTTGCTGATTTATGTTTTCTTGATGTAATTTTATAAGTGTTTCTTCATTAATTGCTAATGTTTCTTTTAATTTCTGTTCTAATTTTGTTTTTTCTTCTCTCAATGATTCGCATTGTTTTTTTACATCACTGAGATGATTGGACAACTTCTGTATTTGAGCATTTGCTTTCAATGCTTCATTCGTAAGTACAGATTTCAATTCTTGTTCTAGTTCATTAACACGTTTAGCGTATCGAGCTGCTTCTTGTCGACATGTATTTGCTGCAATTAAAGCTTTATCAACTTCTTTTTCTTTTTGTGATAAAGTATTTTCTAATCGAGTTATTTCTTTCCTTTTGACAGCTTGCCCAGCTAAACATCTACAAAGATAACAAGATAACAATAAAATTAATATTCTACCATATAATAATTTCATGCAATATAAAATTACTTTTAATTAAAATGAATTACCTTTGCAATTCTCCCCTTAATTTATTTGTGATATCATCATAGGGCTTTGATTTTGTTTTATTATGAAAATCGCCTAATTTCATTTGTCTAATAGAATCAGATTCTTCTTCTAATGTTGTAGCTAACAATGAATCATACTGTGCAGCATCATTTTTTGCTATCTCTAATTTATTCTATATATATATATAAATACATTATTATTTTTAATATAAATCTTGCACATTTTTTAAACATATTTTAGGATATATAGTGGATTGAAGCTGTTCCTTAAATGTAAATTAATACTTTAAGTACCTGTAATTCTTGAATCATTTTTTGCATTTCTTCTTTTTCTTGTGTTAAAACTTTAATTTGTGCTTGAAGCTGCATTACTTGCTGAGCATTATTTGTAGCCATAAGATTTCGACACTGCGTCTGACTTTCTTCTAATACTTGTGCTAAACGATTCATTGTATCTCCTTTCTCTACCATCAATGTTTCATTCGCCCTTCTTACATCAGCTAATTTATTTTCCAAAGTGACATAAGATGCTTCCTATTAAAATTCAAGAAAATCAAACATGAAATTACGATAATTTAATGAATTAAAATATAATTTTTCTGGTATAAATATGACTTTTTAATAGTACTCTCATGCAAAGAAAATAAGTACATATATGAAAACCAAGAAACTTATATAATTATACAATATGTTCTTTACAAAAGCATTATAATTCTCAAAAAATACAATATCAACAACTTGCCCAAATACAATGATTGTTGGAATCCATATTGAACAGCTATGACACAAATATTTATTATTATTATTATCATCATTATCATCATCATTATTAGCATCACCATCATTACCATCACCACCACCACCATCATAATCATTATTATTATTATATTTGTAACTTAATGAATATTAACAAATAACAATATTTTAGTGTGTCTTTATTATAATAATTTATAATAAAAAGATATACACTAAAATCTAATTATCTATCAATATACATTAAGTTATAAATAAATATGAGCAAAATGTAATACATAATGTAATACTAGAAATACCTTTGCATTAAGTTTGTCAGTAAGAACATCTATTTGAATTTGCATATTCTTCATTTCAACAGCATGTTTCTCTTGCGCTTGTTTCAAAAATTTTTCATGTGTTTTATCATTTGCTTGTAATGCTTGTACTCTTTCTAATACAGCTATTTTTTGTTGTAATTCTATTACAGAATCTCTTGCGACATTTAATTCTTCTGTCATCTAAATTTTGTAATTTTTATAATTAGGTAATTAATGCATCTAATGCTATTGTAACGGTAAAACCATTGTTCAAAATAGTACAGGAAAGTCTTACATTTTGATTAGTTTTCTCTAAAACTGCATTTTTCTCCTTCAATGATGTTATTTGATTATGAAGATCAGCAATCTCAGCTTTTGCATCAACTACAAGAAACACTTAATTTTATAATCCTTTATCTAGATAACATTTTTTGAACATGTTTCATTAAATCTTACCCAAAGCATGTTGCGTTTGATTTCTAGATATGTTTGATCTTTCAATATCAGCCTGTAAAAGTGTTATTTTCCTACTAAGCTGATTCTTCTCTTCTTCTTTTTCCAACCGAACTTGTTGCAATTCTTCTGTTAATCGCTTAACTTCTTTCATTCGCACTGTATATAAAACTTCTAATTGTTCCTTACTATCATACTCGGCCATTTTATAAGCTACACCATCATCTGTTGATCTGCCATTTGGACTTGTTTTGTAACAATGATTTATATGATCAGATGTAACATTGTCACCACCTCCAAACTCATGAATTTGCTTACATTGTACATTATTGTCATATCCATCGATATAACCATTATTTGAATAATTTTTACCTTGAGCATCGTAATGATTAGCTGGTGTGTGATAATTATATGAATAATTTTCATTAAATGTATAATCTTCCTCAACTTGGGTTCTTAAATCGTTAGAAAATGCAGAGTTTGGTAATCTTGTTAGTTCATAAGGTGTTTCAGCAATAATATTATGCATATCATTATCCTTATTATTTTTAGAATATGGGGTGTCAGTTTGATCATATACACCAAAGTCTCTTTGTATATTAGAGATTGAAGGAGCGATTTCCATCTCCGACCTATGATTTATTATAGTGCTATCATAGTTATTTGAATTTTTGACATGATCATAAATACCAAATTCTTTCTGTAATTGAGATACAGTTTGATCTTTGGATGATATAATTCTTTGAGGAGAATTTAACATAGTATTAGTAACTTCTGATCCTTTAGTACTATCTTGATAATGGCTGTCATTAATAGAACTAGTGTCAGATTCATCATCTAAATCATCAAATGCATTGTCCAAGAGATCCTTGATCTAAAACATTAAACGTTATCTATTAAAATTACAATCATTGAAGAATAAACTCTTTTGGATAGAACTTTTTAATTAAACCGCAAATCAAGCAATAAAATTGGAAAGTTAAAATAAAGAAAGGAATAAAGTAAAGGAAGATGCACCTCTTTATTACGTTGCTTAGCATCTTCTTGTTCTTCATCTTCTTCTAAGTCTTGTATATTTGTATTTAGTTGGATATTTTCTGAACCTAAAAATAAGCTCAGACCTGGACCCTCCATTCCTATCGTCTGGCATACACGAATTTATCATAAAAACCAAACATTTATAGCCAACATATTTTTGTTTATAACACCATAACCTAAACGCAACAAGTGGGTCACAGAAAATTAGTTTGAACTATAATCCCAGGTTTAACAATACATTACAAAGTCTTAATAAGCTCATTTTTACTAATCTCAATAAGTCCACGACAAACAACTCCGAGATTATTAAATTTTTGGAATGATTATACGCTCTGCAATTTGCTTGTAAACAATCTTTGAAAAGTCAAAATGCATTACAGGAAGTCTATATGCGGAAGTAAGCTTTCTGATTATCTCTGCTTTTCTATTGGTTCATTCATAGAGCATTACTAGCGATGATAGTAGCGTATTTCCTTCAAGAAATATTTAACTGTAAAGGATTTACGTGGATATATGTATATTAGTACTAATAACAATAATTTCAACGGTGTAAAAAATAACGTTAGTCTCAACTTTGAACATGAAAGCAGTAATACAACGTGTGACAAAAGCTAGTGTTTCAGGTAATGAATAGGTTATATATGTTTTGTTGTAATAACTAACTTATCGTCTTTTAAGAAACAAGAATCAAAAAGAAATGTTAAATGTTACCATATGTCTATAAAATAAAAATTATATATGTATTATATATTGTATTAAATTGAATAAAACATGGTCAGAACACAGTTTCTCCTTTCTAATTCATGAGATGCATATGTACATAATAATACATGTAAGATGTATTGAACAGTATAATTTTCTATAAAATATAAAGTCATAAAGTGATGCATTAGCATTTATTTCAATTTAATTTCATTAGAACGTATAAAACGTTTTTCGCTATTATCATTATATATACTTAATTTATTCTCTATTGATACTACTATGAAATAATTTTTCAGTTAATGGTGAAATTATTAATAGTATTGGAAATGGTCTCTGCATTTTAATTGGTATAAAAGGAGATGACACAATAGAAGACATGAAATATATGTAATATATAAAATTATTATAATACATATTTTGAACAAAATAATCTAGCTCAGTGTAAAATATAAAATAAAATCTTATTTTTCTTAGAGTAAAAAAAATACTGAATATTAAAATGTTTGATGATGATAATAATAAAAAATGGAGTAAAAATGTTATGGATAAAGAATATGAAATATTATGTATTAGTCAGTTTACATTGTACCATACCCTGAAAGGAAATAGATTAGATTTTCATAAAGCCATGCCTGCCCAAACAGCTGAATCATTTTATAATAATTTTCTTATTGAACTTGGTAAAAATTATAAACCAGAATTAATTAAAGGTAAATAATAACTATAAGCTATTAACTTCATATGAAGATATGTTGTTTATTGCATTTGAATAGAATGAAAATAAAATGAACTTCTATCAAATCGTTATTAGATGTTTGTTCAGAAAAGTAATACATTCATTCTATCAAATACTTTCTACAGATGGTAAATTTGGAGCAATGATGGAAGTTAATATAAAAAATAGTGGACCTGTAACATTAGAAATAGAATCTCCACTTAAATTTAACAAATCAAACCAATGTAATGATACACAATGAATATTGATGGAAAATCAAAATGAAAATATATGAATATTAATTAAACATACAATAAATGTTATTAAATACATAATTTTATATATTTTTCTAATTTTTTCCCTCTATTTATATATAGATATGTTTCTCTGTCATTTAACAGTTTCTATGATAAATTCATTCCCTTTCTATATTTAATAAACATTGTTCTTGAGTGATATAATTTGAACCCAATTAATTTCTATATAATTTTATAAATGTAATTTTTAGTGTGGTGATATAAATACAATACTTCTTTTAAGAATGTTGTCTGATATACACATTGCAAATATATATATATATTTGTTTATTTTAATTATTTGAGTTTTTTATATAATTTTGATAGGTAAAATCTTTACAAATTTATATAATGCACATTGTCGTCATATTAACAAATATAATATAGATAGAATCAGCTGAAGAGATGTGCAGATAATTTGTCTTTAAGCGAAATACTGTTACAAATATTGTTTATAATACGTTTCATAAATGTTATTCGTCATATAGGATTCCATATATTGTTAGAAGATCGTTTCTTCGATTTGATCAAACTATAACTTCGTAATAAAGTGCTTGACGTTAAAAATAGTCGGATACATCGTTGTAAGAAAAACAAATAGTATGTCTAGAAAAGATTTTGATATCATCAGGGTAAGTGACAAAGCGAGGTACCTTATGTTGAAATAAAGGAAGTGATTTTCAAATATTGTATTATAATAATAAACTTACGCACATTTCTATGTAATTAAGATAATAGTTTTATATAGTATGTAATTCAGTCAGCGTGTACAAATATGAGAAATTGAAAATAAATGCAAATACATATGTATTATTATATACGGAATTATTATACGGCTATCATTTTGCATTACATTAACATTTTTAATTTTTATGTCACATTTAAATGTTTTGAACATCATCAACAGCATCAAATATGCTATGTAATTACAATTTTTTTTCGAGAGTTTTTATTATATTGAAAATACTTATTATTGCAGATAATACATTAACTCATGCATAAAAATTACTTATATTTTTATATCTACATATATAAAAATTATTACAGGTTTTTATTTTATAATAAACCTATAACAACCGTTTTTATTTCAGCGATAAATGTTATCGTATAAAGGTGTAAACGTATGTGTCATCCAGAATAAAAGATCATTTAAAAGATTCGGAACATTAACTTTGTTTACTATACTCGTTTGAACTGAAATATTTAATTATTAATTTATTAATCTCTTATTGAGACACAATGGAGAACGAGGAAAAAATGGATAAAAAGTCAATAATTGTAGAAAATGAAAAAGGTACATATTTATCATTGTTAACTTATGAATTTTTTAAAATATTATTAGCGATTCAATAATAATAGATAATTATCTTTTAGATAAATCTGACGCTCCTCAACAAACAAAAAAGGTGGAAAATACAAAGAATGTGCAGCCTCAAAAATCTGATACTACAAATACTGGAAATGATGAATTAATTCATTCGCGACAAGTATAATAATATAAAAGTTCTAATATGATTGCTACCAATAGTAGTATAGCGACTATTTTTAAATAAATGTATGTATTCATTTTTCAGTCGCGCGAAGTTCAAACGGATATTGCGTATACAGAAACAGTAGGAAAATTAAAAAATCGGCTAGATACGTTGATGAATTCTTTAGCTACTCTTTCGGCAGAAAAATCTAAAATGGAAGCAAGTTTTCAACAGGATAAGAAGCAGTTGAGAAACGAACGAGACGAAGTGAGTTTACACTATATGTGTATATGTATACATATTTATATTCATATCAATATATATTCATTTATATTTTTGTTAAATATAAAATATTTACAGTGTGAAAAAATAATCAAGGATTTGAAAGAAAAATTAAACAAAGTGCAAACTACGAATTACTCTGAAATCGAGCATGTGAAATGTAAATTAATTATGGAACGTCACGAAAGGGAAAGAGAGCAAGCTGATCATGCAAAAATGATAAAGTACGTAGTAAGATATGAAAAATATACGTAGAATTTGTAGTTTTAAGAGAAATTTTGTTAAAATTTCTCTTTATTTTTTAGAGAACTACAAAAATTATTACACGATGAACGACGAAACAAAGAACAACTTGAAGCACAAGTAAAAAGTCAGTTTGCACATAAGACACAATGTAAAATACTTGAAGCTGAATTAGAAATAGCTAGAAATAAGCTGAAACAAGCAGAAGAAGCAGCTAAAGAAACACCCCCGATTCTACTATCACTCCAATCTGAAATGGCTCTAATGAAGAAACAACATTTAAATGCGATACATGAAGTAATTTAAAAAAAATATATCTATTTGTATGAGATTGTTTTGTCTACTGTAGGCATGAGAATGGCTAATTAACTTTGCAGGAACAAAAAAGAGCTGCTGCTGCAGAACAGCAAGCTAGAGCATTAGCAATGACTCATGAAGCAAGAGTAGCTGGTCTAGAAGCAAGACTAGCTGAACTTTCAGAAATTGTTGGAGGATATGATAGACTCAGACAGCAAGATCAACAAGCCATACAGAAACTGAAAGACCAACTAATTAATTTACAAGACTCTGAACATGAGTATATTACATTAAATAATGAACCTGAAGAGATCATTTCTAGAATAAAAAACCTGTATACCAAATTGTTAGATTTAGATAATAAAAAAAGCGAATCAGCACATGTTAAATGTTAGTTAATTAAAAATACTTTTCTCTTATATGAATAATACATTGTATAATTATTAGCAAATTTGGTTTTCAGCATTACTACATTGCTTAGATTTATATGATAAACAACAAGTTATTGATTATAAAGAAAAGTATGAAACTTTGTTACAAGAATTCGAAGATTGTAAACAGCAAATGAAGTATAGTAATGTTGGAAACATATCGTATAATATTCAGAGTCAAAATATTGCATCATCTTATGATAAAAATAGCAAAACGCAATTACATATTTTGAAAGCACATAATAATAATCTAGAAGAACGAATACGTGTTTTAAATAACGAAATTGTGAATAAGGAAAGGGAATTGAAATTAAAATTGGAGCATCAGGAAAAGGCAAATTTTTTTCTTTTCTTTGATCACTCGGTGACAAATTAAATCAACTATATTTAACTATATTTATATAACTATATTTATATAACTATATTTATACTGTGGTATAAACAACAATTGGTTATTTTTACAGTTATCTCAAGAAGAACATGGAAAATTGAGACATTTGTTATTACAAAAGGACAATGAATTTCGTAATAAAATATCTACGTTAGAGCAACAATTATTACGTCAACGAGAACGATCGATGGCTCTCATCGAAGAAAAGGATAAAGAAATTTTAACTTTAAAAACATCTTTTCACGCATTATTACCCAAGAAGGAAAATACTGCAGAAAGGAAGCTAAATACATCAAAATGTGAAAGTGGAACAGAGCCTATAACCGATTTAGTAACTGGATTATTAACAAATGACAGTCCTCCAATATTGCATTACAGTCAAGAGTTAGCAAGAAAAGAGGTGCAAGTATCAGCATCTAGAAAAAAAGTTTTAGAGTTAGAAGCAACATTACGGGAAAAACAAAGAGAAGTCATATATATAAAGGAGAAACAGAAAGAAAATATAAAAGCTTTGCAAGCTCAGATTGCGAGGTAAATTTCAAAGTGATGCGTGTATTGAAAAATTGGAAGAAAGATACGTTCTCATTTGATTATATTATTCGATTTTTAGGCTCGAAGCTTGCAAGTCTAGGGAAGGTGCAAATCTTGAATATTTGAAAAATGTTTTTATAAATTATTTAACTACAAGCGATGTTTCTAGTAAACGTCATATGCTAAACGCTATTTCTACAGTATTGCGTTTTACTGCCGAAGAATTAAATAAGGTAAAGCACTAATTCATATTATGGAAATGTATAAAAAAATTAGTAGCTGATCTAATATATATCATAAAATTTATTTATTTTGTTATATTTTCGGTACTATCGCAAATGATATTTGAGTACATTATACTAATAATGTGTTCATAAATAAAAGTTAAATCTATCATCTGTAATTATTTAAGAAAGGGCATTTCCGACTGATTTCGGCGACCTTGAAATATGTTGTCGGAGACATAATCCTGAATAGCTTTTCCCTATATATGTTATTGTCGCTCGGCCTTAGTTTCAGTGATATACGCAAAAGTATTTTTATCACTATGTACTTTTAAGGGGGTATTATCCTATGAATTCTTTAAGTTGAAGATTTAGTCCAACGCTGCAACTTTTTTTCGTAGTTTACTTTGTTACTTCTTCCTCATACATAATCATTTTGTATACAGTTTTAATTAATTGCCTCTTGGTTTTATCTTACTCACAATAAATGAGCATTTAGAGGCCGTATCTCACTGGCGTAGGTGATTGGAACTTTAGATAGACTAAAACAAAAAAATCAAGAAGATTCTTTAATCAATAGCCCTATGTTTAACGTACGTACTGAAATAAATAATTTATGTCGAAAATTGGCAAAATGATGAATGCTTAAGTTGCAAATTTCGAGGTTTCATTCTTTCTTCGATGATTGTTAAATAAAACAAGCATAATAAATTCAATGTTAAAATAAAGTAAATTATTTATTTTGATATGAACAGTAACAATAAACCTATCGGTTAAGAATTGTTTTGATTGGTTGAAGAATTTTCTTACTTTTATTTTACATATATATATGTCGGGTTTACATTAGAATTAGAGTTAGGGGCGTGAAACGAAACTTCGTTTGGATTACACATTGTCGTTATGCAATAGAGAAGACATTTAATAGTGCAAATACGATTATTATAGAATTGGACAAGTAACCGTGGTAATTAGATACTCGAGAAACCAATGACAATGACCCTAGGTTCAATAACGAATCCGCGGTCGACGGGATGATAGATGAACGTGCTCACAAAATCTAAGTCGGACGCGTAATATTCACTGATCGTAAGGTGTTACTTTATTCGTCGATGGGGCCGCAAGAAACAATGACTTTCCGTCCCGACGATGCCACAGAGGAAAACTATGATGGGGTGTATCTAAGGACACGAGATCATCGGATTCGTCGAGGATAGCCTTCGTTCGGAAAGTAAGGCAAATTGATGTTGCTGCTAATTGGTCAATCTCCATATCGGTGGTTAGAAAAAGGAGCTAGTTAGAAAAGGATACTAGCCGCCCTCGAGGGAAAGTTGCTAGTGGGAGACGTCGTTCGTTGAAAAATAGGTCTCCTCTATTTTCTCATAGTTGGAACAAGGACTGTTTGTCTGTTTGAAGGACTTTAGTTAGCTAAATCTTAAGATTTATAACGGGTCCTCGGGCTAGCTGAACATGTACTGCGGGGACGCATCGACATCTGGCAATCATCTTACTCGAAGAATAGGGTCTGCGTATGGCTGGATGTGACGAGCTACGGGACAGAGACCGTTGGAATATTTACTGTCGAATGTTGCAGCTATTTCCTTTTTAAGGAGAGCTATAGAATTACTCCACGCCTTTGTTAGACAAAGCGTTCATCCCGTGACCGCGGCTATGTCACGACCGGCATACTTCAAATCCGACGGACTGACGATAGAGATAAAGATGTGGCGGCACTCGGCGACAATGTATATCGCTGAAGTGCCTAATGAACCATCAACATCCCAACGGTCCTTCCATCGAAGATTCTAGAAGAAAGAGCACGTAGCAACGATCGCGGACGCCTAGCAAATGCATGGACGGTGGGGATGTTGAGGGATGACAAAAGAAAGTAAGCGGATCCGATCGAAAGTAAAATCATGAGTCAGTCTTAGAAAGTCACGCCTAGAGTTCGGAAGTAGATTGTAAAGTGTATTGATGTTAGAAAAAAAATAAATTTTTCTTTTTTTATTTTTTACCTCAAATTCCTTTTTTTACTTTGTTATTTTACGTGACATTTTGGCGATCCCGCCAGGATAGTGAAAAGTGTTTGTTCGGAAACCAAAAGACATTCATCATCTACGGAAGATCGAATTATTTGGGACTACGGTCATCCGCAACAACAAAGTAACTATCACGAACCAAGTGAAGTA